AACTGGTAATAATAAATAATGTTTTTGTTAATTTATTTAATTAAAATATAGTACAATGATATTTTTATAATATCTATTTGTTAATCTATTATTTAGTTTGATGAGTGCGGCAAAAATTTAATTTGAGTATTTCTAAAATATAACCGGCTAAGTAATTCGAAAATAACCGAGTTACCAAATCATACATGAGACTTTTCCCAAAATTTTTTAAAAAGAGCAGAAAATTGTTTGAAAATAAAACATGAAGAACTTGAACAAGTCATCAATTATAATACAATAAACAAAAAAATATCAACAGTTTTAGATTTCATTGATTTGAAATCATCAAATTCCAAATCTACAAATTATGTGCTCTTGGATCATTAGAAAATATTATCAAAATGTTTGTCCATAAAAATACCATCTACAAATTGTTAACAAATCCTTGAAAATGCAACATAAAGAAATTAGCATATGTTCAGATTGTCAAAATGCAAAAAGTGACATTCATATAGATAAGAAGGGCAATAATCACAAGAAATAAAGGAGAGGAGAAATAAACTCTTTTCATTAATTCGTCATTGCTTTCAATTAGAGGTAAAAAATGCAAATTTTACCTAAGATATTTAAATTTTATATATTTTTATTTGTTGTGGTTATATGAAAATAATATTAATTTCTAATGTTAAACTGAAACAAAAAAGTGTATGACCTCTTTATTATTTTGAAAATTTTTTTTATCTCCTTGTTATTTTTCCTTATCCATAAAATCGTCATTATTTTTAGAAATAAAGAAAATCATTTTTAACACTAAAAAATAAAAACAATCGTTTCACATTTTTATTATGATTAAAATATTGAGTAAAATGTATTTCATTATTTATATAAACACTTTAAATAACATTGAACAAAATTCAAATGGTCTAAAAATCGGGAAATCTCGAGTTTATTAAATAAATTTCCGTTTTTTGTAAGTTAATAATATGTGCATAAACAATACACAAGCCAAAAAAGGAAAATCATCAAAAAATGTATTAATATCCCTGTAAGAACAGGCCAAAACAAAAATAAGGGCGTTATTTTAAGTGTTAAAATACTTTTTGGATATAATTCTCGTAATTCAGTTTAATTTAATAGAGTAATTCGATTATTTGTTAATATCGAGTAAATATGTTGATCATTAAAATTTAGTTGAATTTTAAAGTAGTATTTCAATTAATCACAGATGATAAAAGAAACAAATTCGAAGAAAAAATAATAAGTTAATGTTTCAAGTCCTTATGATATCATGATGTGTCAGTTTGTAAACGATTATTGTTGGAGTGACTTACTTGAAAATACATCGATTATCAAAAAATAATCTTAAAAAGTTGTATATTTCTATTTATTTTGAAGATAAATGTGTTGATATTAATTAAATAACTGGAGAGATTTTGACAAAATCAAACAACTATTGACTCAATAAAATATAAAAAGCAAAATATAAAGATTGTATCAATATAGAAATTATAAATCAATACAATATACTTCCATTTTATACAATTTTGTATTAAACCTCCATAATAATCAAAACGTTATAAAAGCAATACAATAATAAAAATGAAACAATTAAAACGTAATCAAAAGAAAAAAAATATGCAATACAACGCCTATGTGCACAAATCATAATACAGTAAAACTTTTCAAAAACGGTACTTTTGAAAAGCGAATTCTCTCAGAAAAGTACTTTTCAATGAAACTAAAAATAAAGTACTTTATAAAGCGGTAATTAATGTTTGATTGGCTTAAAATGCCCACTTTTGAAAAAAAAACAAAATTATCACACCCGCCCGCTCTTCAAAGTTTTTACTGTACACTTTAGTTTTTGAATAATAAAAACGTTTTATCATTAAAAAATGGCCAGCTCCGAGTTGTGACTTAAATTTAATTGAGCATTTGTAGTAATATTTGAAATATAAATAATTAATAGATAATACAAGTAATGAAAACATTTTTGTTGTGTGTCATGTTGTTTGTAAAAAATACATCAAAATATTAACAAGTAAGTTGAAAGTTATAGTGAACGGTTGAAATTGTGAACAAGAAAAAATTACAAAAAATATTGCAAGACTAATGACCCAAGTACTTTAAATTATTTTTAATTATTATCATATTTTTCACAAAATCGTAACTGAAAAACATGACGCTTTTATGAAACAAGTTTAGTACTGCTGCAAAAAAAATGTTACCACAATGATACCTGTATTTTAAGTCACATAATGACCACATATTCCAAAATAAACAAACATGATTATGTTTGAACGATGATTTATATCAGTCTCTTGAAACATCTGAACATGTCCACTATGGAAATTAATTTTGAAAATTTTCCAAAATGCCTTTATAATGAAAATGAAAATGATATAATAATAACTGAAATGAATAATTTTTGTCGATGTTAAACGGTCGTTTGCAAGAAGATGTGATATATACTGGCAATGTAATGAGACAAAAAAAATGATACATCATCGATATCACATATAGGGGTGTGATAAAGTGGTTGTAAATGATAAACCCCTTGTCGATTTTGGTAGATCTTCCATTCGAACCAAATGTAAAACATAATTCATTTATTTTTTGTTATTTTGTCTGCTTGAAAACCCCTGGTTCACTTTGTTTTTTGCACACTTTTTGGAACAGCTTTGATTATTTAAGACTTGAGTTATTTTTATTTTCATTTTTTATCCAATCAGACGAAAGACATTTTGGAATGGATTTTAGTTGTTTTTCGTTTTAAAAAAAATACAAAATGTGAATTTTTTTGTTCCAGAGCATACGTCTCAAAAAACCTTCGTTTTTGACAATGAAAAAAATATGGTAATCATTTTAAAAAATATTACTGATGTAGTGTTTTAAAAAATCAAAAAGCAAATTGCAAATTATTGTAATTGATAAAATAATCTTTTGTTTATTGCTTATTTTTTTATTTTATGGCAATTTTATTTTGGAAGAAAAAAATGAAATAACAAAATAATAAAAACAATTTATTCAAATGTTATTAAATTTAACAACAAAAAATAATTTCAAAAGCAAAAATGAGGCAGTTCAACATATTAATACATTTTTTCTATTGTGGCAAAATAGACTCAGTGGTAT